TAATTTGCAAAATTTACATGTTTTCATATTGCTGCATATGGCTGGGTGATGCCCAACTGTTATTGTCCTAATATTTTTGTGGAGTATGTCCATGTATGTTCTAGAAGTTCTGGATAAATCAAGCAAAGGCTCTTGCTTCATCCAGATATGTTAATATATCTAAAAGCTTGTATTCTCAAACAATGCTTCGTGAAAATCTTAGAACATTGGAAGTTCTGGAATCTTTTAACCATTTTTTTCAACTTCAGCTTCAATTAATCAATTCAACTATAAATATTGATGTTGGGCACTTGGCATATCATTTAATCAAATTAAAGGATGAACTTGATAAAAAAAACCATATATGTTCATATATAGTCATATAAAAGTCTTACTAATTTGACGTGTTTTTGCTAAATTTTTTTTAATATTAAGTTAGTGTGTCCATATTACTCAGTATTAATTTTCTTGCCTTAATTTTTCCTTGTTATTGTTGCTTCTCACTTATGGTTTAACGTGGTATTAAGAACAATTTGACAAGAAAATCAAAATCCAGTTCAAATCTCATCCACCCCTCATACTTCATATAACATTTACTACTACAAAAGCCTCATAATCTCGACACTGTATGGTCGACGCTATAGGAAACCGTTAGCCTTAAAATATAGGTTGCGATTCACCTCGACGCTTTTCTATGTCGAATATTAAATCTGACGATTAAAAGCGTCGACATAGTGCACGTGATTGTTAAGTGATGAATTCAGCAGTCCGCTTTTGAAATTTAGGGGAAAAGTTAAATGACGCGCCTTACCTATAGTTTTGCCAAAAAGTCCAAAAAATTAGTCTACATTCGTAACTATATTGTTCGACTTCATATTTTCTAAACCCTAACATTCCTCTTTTTTTTTTTTTGTATTTTGTATGAGTTTAGATTTCAAAAGAGAGGAAGTTAAAGAGATTAGATTAAGATTTAGATAAATTCTCATGAAAATCAAGATCATAGTTCTTTTTAAAATTTTAGTAAGATCAATTTCAAACAATAATCCATCATTCTAATCCTCATTTTGTGTGGATTTGAAAATATGATTTTTGTTTCTTATTCAAAAACCCTTTTTAAAATTGAGTATTAGATATTAATTTAAGGGGTTTTTAATTATGAATATCATTACAAAATTAGTTCATATATATGAGTTTGATATGTGATGAAGTAAGATATAATTCCCACATAATTCTGCCAATTTTTCAACCTATCTAATTAAATCTATGCGTTTTAAAATTTGATAATACCCACAAATATTTCATCTCTCGATTCTTATTTTGTTTTTGATAGTCATTTAATTATTGTTAGAAATGTCAAAATCTTATTATAATTGAAATTAAGGAAATATTTGTTATATCAATTGAATGAATTACAATTACTAATATTTTAGGGGTGATTTTATATGGTTGTACTATAATTTAATATCTAAATTAATTCAGCTCAAGAAATTTAAGATCTGACTAAAAACTAAGCTCAGGAATTTTAAGATCTATGTCAAAATTGTATTCATTAGTACTAAAATTTTGAACCAAACACACGAAATAGCTCTTGAAGATTAAGATCCGACTAAAACTAAGCTCAATTTTAGGTGAATATAAGAATTTATATGTAAAGTTTAACGAAAAGGCTTTATCATTGCTCTGATTTGATATATAATAGTGCATTTTTCAGTTTGTGATGATACTGAGTATTTCTTTTTGTTTTTCACTTATAATAATTCATTATACTTCTTTTTTTTTTTTTTTTTTTTTTTTTTTTTTTTGTAAATAATGAATTTATTGTTAACACTTTACATGTCATTGCAAGCTAATAAATTGATCTATAATATAGCTTTGTGTTTGTTATGTCAAGGCATCAACTAAGGGCATGTTCTCATTGACTGAACTGAAATGAACTGAGCTGAACTGAATTGAAATGAATATTTTATAAGAGAAGGAAATTAGGAGCTGAACTGAACTGAACTGAACTGAATTTCAACATAAGAGAACAGGCCTTAAGTGTAATATTTTTACCCCTTGTTGGCTTGTTCACTTGTAGTATTTTTCCCAATAATGTGTATCATGAACCTTCTTCTACACAATTCTCATCTCTCATCTCTCGATGCTAATTTTGTTTTTTATAATCATTTGGTAATTGAGACAAATATCAAAATCATATTATAATTAAAATAAGGGATTTTTTTATAGGAACGGAGGTCTATTACAGATTTTCTAATGCTAATTTTCTAATTCTGTATTCACTTGTAATTTAGTGATGGTATTGATTAGAAGATTATCATGGAGTGAAACTAAGACTAGTGGGTGTTGGTTTTTGTGATCTAATTAATTATTTGGTCAAAGAAAATTTAATTGACTATGATTAAAAAAAAAAAAAAAAAAAAAAAACACTTTAGTTTTGTGTTTGAATTTCTATGGAGCTCGTAATTTGGATAGTGTTGGCTTGTTGGATATTTTAATATGAACTTCTTGTTATTTCACATATATATATATATATATCATATATACTAGCTCCGTTATATATTAGTTGCAACTTTTGCCATTTAGGGGTGCTACATATTAGTTGCAACTTTTTATTTTTTTCCTTTTTAAGTAAGTTTTGACAATGAAAGTACAAAAATACCCTTACTAAAGAGCTCATAAACACAATTAACTACATAATTCATATTTCATTAAATTCCTAATCTAACTTATTTAACATAAGTTATGTCACCCAATTAAATCAAAAATCATTATCTCCCATCTTCATCTCCCACGAACAAATCAGACCACCGCAACACCCGCCTTTACCGTCGCCGTTGCTACATCTAACCACCGTAAATCATACCACCGCAACACCATCTTCAACGTTGTCGATGCTCATCACCACCGTCAAAGTCGCCTCCTCCTCCTGTGTTCCTATTTCTCTCTCTTCTTTTTTTTTGAAAAAAAAATCGTTTAGATCTAATGGTTTAAGGGGTGGGTGGGCTAGTTTGTGGTTGCTTGAGGCGATTTCTGGGTGGATTAGGGTGATTGAGGGTGGTTTCGTTGTGGTTCAGGGTGAGTAGGGGTAGTTTTTGAGCGATTTAGGTTGATTGTGGGTGGTTCTGGGGTTGAGTGAGGGTGTACGATTTCGAGGTGGTTTGAGTTGAGAAAGGGTAGTTTTAAGGTGGTTTGAGCTAAAAGGGGGTGGTTATGGGGTTTTCCGAGCTAAGAGAGGGTTTTACGGTTGTTCGTGTGTGTGTGGGTGCGTGGTTTCAGGGCCTATTATGGGTTGAGATGCGGTGGTTTAAGGCTATGACGTGGGTGGCTTCAAGGTGGGTGCTACGGCCGACGTTGGTGCGGTGGGTGCTGTTGGCTGACGGTTGTGTGGTGGGTGCTGTTGGTGGTGGTGGGTGTTGTTGGTGGTGGTGGGTAAATAATTAATTACCTTTACTTTCTCTCTCCTACCTTGCTTGATTACTTATCTTTGATTAATTAATCAACCATTATGAAATTTTGTCTTAAAATCCGTGTCGAGTTCAAAGTTGCAACTAATGAGAAACGGAGGTAGTATATATATATATATATATATACATACATATATACATATATATACATACATATATATGTATATATGTATGTGTATATGTATATATATATAAACATATATATGTGTGTATATATATATATATATACATATATATATATATACATATATATATATATATACTACTACTACTACAAAAAACCCCTATCGAGTCGCCTTTAAACCATCTTACACATCGCTTCAAGGGCGACACTACAGGCACCGATACAATAGGCACCCCTTTACGCATCGCCTATAACGTGACGTGTTAGGTTGGTTTATGAGTCGCCTTTTTCATTACAGGCGACGCGTTAGGTTGGTTTATGAGTCGTCTTTTTTGTTATAGTGTAACACCCTAGAAATTCATTTCTTTTAAAATACATGTTTTGCCCTGTTTAAAAATTTAAATAGGAATATCTAAGATATTACCGCCACCGTGAAAATGGTTAAGGCAACCATCAAAGACACACAGCGGAAGACTAATTTCAAAACCATTCAAAACAAGTCAACTTGAAAAGTCAACCAACGAAAGTAAAGTCAAAACCAAAGTCAAACGAAGTAAAATAAAACCATTTTACAACTTGGAACCATTGTAGGCCCTTATTAAAACCAAACCAACTTTAAAACTTTTGCGTTAGTCATGCATGATAATAATATCATAAATAATTAAAGCATTAAACACATCATATACTTGTAGAAACTAGCATGCACTACTACAAAAAAGGCCAAAGAGACCAGTTGAAAAAGGCCAAAGAGACTGCTTTCGAGGCGGTCTCTAGCTCAGTGGTCTCTTTGGCTAAGAGACCGCTTGTAAAGAGGCGGTCTTAAGTTGCTATACCAGAGACCGCTTTTCTGACAAAAACGGTCTCTTTAGGTGGTTGATATTTTGAAATTGTAGAAGCATAAGAGACTGTTTTTGTCAGAAAAGCGGTCTCTTGTATACCAAACTAAGACCACTTTTTTTACTTAGGCGGTCTCTCTTTTTGAAATAACTAAGACCACTTTCTTAGTTAGGCGGTCTCTCTTTTTTTAAAAAAAAGAATATACAGCGTTTGTGTAAAGACCATGCATGTATGATAACCGGTCTCAAATGGGTTATTTTTTTTTTTAAATTTATTTTCTTTCGAATAATCAAATTTTTAAATCCTAGCTACCTGCATGCTGCATTAAATTTTTGCGCCAAATGATTCCTGTTTTTTTTTTTTTAATCCAACCTGTAATCACCAAAAATAAACCTGTATATATATCCTGCTCAATATTATTAAATTGCACCAAAAATAATCCTTGAACCTGCTAATATATTATATACAAAGAGCATTCAAATATATATATAATATACAAATAAATGTGTACTCCAAAATAGAAGGCATATATATATATATATATATATATATATATATATATATATATATATATATATATATATATATATCCAACACAGTACTAATATATGTACACAGTAATAGCTAATTGCCAATGTATCAAAATAAAAAATGTAGAGATTTTTCAAGTATCAAGACTAACGGTATTCATGCTGTAATCACCAATCACTAAGGTTCTTCCGGCTCCTCGTGATCAAGAACATATTGAATCCATAAGTCTCTAATCTCGTCAATTTCTTCTGAAGAATATGTGCAAGGATCTTTGGGAAAGATCTAGAACATAAAGTTATGAAATAACAACAAATTAGATTACATTCATTTACAATTGAGCTAAAGAGCTACTTTGCCTACTTTCTTACTTAAAACCAGAATACAGAGCTATTAGCATATTATCAACAAACAAATTTCTCAGTCCAAAATTAGGTAGTACTTTACTAGTTTCCATTAATTACGTACTGACAATTAGTTCAACAAATCAGAAAGGAATAAACCAAAGCAGAAAATCTTACTAGTGAAATAACGTTCAGAAGCTAATTGCATGAGATTGAGAACATGCAAGCACGATGGTCACAGTATAAAAGTTATAGATTCTGTTCTAAGACAAGCAGCCTGAGCACTCTAGAATTTTACAAGTTAGGACTTCTAAGCCTCACTAATTGGCTTTCCACAAGAAATTTATTTATTCTTCTTACGCTGTGAAAACAGTGAGCATAGCCAATTCCAGCACAACAGCCAAAAATCAACCAAAACACCTCTTCCACAAATACGGAAATACTTTAGTTAACAATGATTGAGCTGACTTCTGGAACATCAAGAACAATGACAACAAGAGATACCAGATCCACTAAAGGTTGATCAATGATTAAAAAAAAATATGCAGCTTGCCCTCCTCTAAATTGACCAATGATCTATCAATAAATATAGTCTTCCAAACCTAAATATTAAAAAGCGGACCTATAACTGATGTCAATTCTCTTACTTTTGATTAAACTGTGATTTTCTTACCCAAGGAAGTCTGTAACGAAATAATCAAGGCCGCCTATTGTACACACATATCACAGGAGAAGGCAGCAAGTTCAGGAGGGAACAAGCAACACAAACAGGCCGAGCATACCACAAGACAAGCAACAACAACAGCCAGCAGCAGGGGACATGTAATCAGAACAGATTCACTTTTCAGAGCTTTCTTTTGGCACCAAGGGAAGAAGACAAATGTAGTTGTTATTAGTAATTAAGGCTAGTCACATGTAGTATGTTAGAAGAGACTTAAATAGCTAGAGGGGAGCAAAAGAGAAATTCATTCAGAAAAGTTGTAACATCTTAGTAGTAGCCTTAGTTGTAATAGAAAACTCTTCAAGCCTTTCGGCCAAATCAATTCAATCAACTGTCTTCTGCCTTATTGATCTTCTTGTTGCCTAGAATTTATCTGTGTAGAGCGCGCTTCGTTGCAAAGTCTCTTTGGAGTACAGAGTAAAAACTAATAGAAGCAACCGTGTCTAGATAGAAACAAGGTTACACTGAATGCATGTTGCCTGAAATCAGACTAATTACATCAGCATACAACCATCATGATGCAGAGATTCTTGTAAAATTACAGGTTTGATGATTTTTTTGGTGCTCCCCTGTTTTTTTTATTTGTTTCTTTGATACTAAATTGTAAAGGGTATATTGAATCATTTTTTCCCACTCCCGAATTTTAGAGAAAATGTCCAAAAATGAAGATCAAATGTTAAAAATCTTGGACTTGGTGTCTTTTGATGTTCAAATCAGTTCTGCTAGTGTCGAACTCACTTCTGTTCCTTCAATGTCAAGGCATTAGTCCTGTTAAAAGTAGGTTTAGATTGGAATCTGGTATTCAGTAGTGAAGGGCACGTCTTAGATAGATACCTCACACCTTTCAGTATGTGGCTCACACAGAGAAATGAATTTAGTTCTCTGGCTTAATGTAACTTAGTTATCAGAGCCTTCTTTGGATTAATGTAACTTAGTCATCTGAATTTGACTCATCAGAGCCTTCTCTAGCTTAATGTTACTTAGTTCCTCAGCACCTTCAAAAAATGAAACTCTCATAGTTTGATTATCTAAGGGCAGGACACCTTTTGTCATTTCTAGGAGAAGACTTATGGTGTAATTCTGTACTATGCTTGACTCAAACGCCATTTGAGATCAATGCATTGATAACTACATAGAGCAGTTTGTCACGACCCACACATTCCACCCCTCACTAGGGCCATTGGACGGGAGGCAACAATCGTGGCCAGGGGGAATGCCCTTGGTGCGCACTGGCTAGGCCAGAGACACCCTCCCCCTATAGAGCTTTATATTGCTCCAGTGCTGTCACCCTAGTGAACACCCAAGTGACAGTAACACAATAATGGGCTATTTGGGGACCCAAATGAAGTCCGATTTAGCCCAAATTTGGGGGTCCACCATTTTTAGGCCCAATGAACATCATGGTGGTGTTAGATTTTGAAGGAGAAGTCCGGAAGGTTCCAGAATACTCAAGGAGACTCGAGATGCATCCGGAAGCTTCTAGAACCTCCTAGGACATCCTTGAATCATCTGTAAATTCTAGAGTTGTGTAGATAATTCTAGAGTCTTGTACATAGAGGGAATGTACTAAAGAAATGTATAGAATACTCTAGAAAGGATTAGATCTAGAACCCTCCATTTGAGGAGGTTAGTGAAGGTTCTAGGCCATGCTTAGAACACTATAAATAGGGGACTTGGCCTTCATTTGGAGGCATCTCAGAAAATACTTGTAAACACTCTCTCTCAAGCTATCAAAGCATTCAAAATATTTATATCCTCTTGTGTTCTCAACATTCCTTAACTTTCGTTGCACACTCTTGCTTGAAGCATTTCGGGGTTAAGCCTTGACTAGCATCCGAGGGAGGGAAGTTAGTAGGCTAGCGTGCATAAGACTAGGGGGATTAGTCAGCACGTGACAAGTTGCTCACCAATACACAAGTATTCAAAATTTCCACAATAAAACTAGGAGTTTCTTTAATTAAACTTATTACCCTTTGATCCTTATCACTCTAATACTACCATACTGTCAAAATATGAAATAAGGAAATGGAAGCAATGAATCAATACTGAAAATTTAACACAAAACCAGCAATGCTACCAATTTACCATAATGTCATAAGATAAATGGCACAGAAATCGATAACATCACAAGAAAAAAATGAAAAAAGAAGCTTATGGCACATTATATGCTTTACAAATAACTGCATACACAAAGAATAACAACTTAAATGACATGTATGTTGAAAATACCTGCTCAGAAATCCATAATACTCTGTTCTGTATAATGTCCAGCATATAGCGACATACAAAGTAACCACAGTGCTTTGTGTATGCAGATTGTAGAGGACACTGATACAAAAAAATAACCATTAAAACAGTTTGGATCTGATTTTACACTACTAGGTATGAAATATGCTAAAAATAATAATGACTTACACGTGGTTGCTTCCACCCTATTTTTGGATTCTTTTTTATTTTCTTAATACTTTTCGATGCTTCATGCTGAATTTAACTATTCCCCTACAAAATCATTTCAAGATGGCACAGTTGCATTAATTTTGATTAGACAATAAAAAAAACACAAGAAGTTAACCAAGTGAATATTTTAGTAGTACATACTCATTGATGATTTTTTGTGCAAATGAGTTGATTTCGACTACTTCATCAGTAGGTCCAACTGGTTGCCCATAAATATTCAAGATAAGGTAAGGGCGTTCCTCCCTAGGACGAGCATGAACCTTAACCAATTTTGTTGGACCTCGATGCTTCTTTTTTGCAGGAACTGTGAAGGAAAAAGTTGTAAGTTAATACAATGTTATAACAAAAAGATTTATCAAATGACAAAAAAACTTTCCACAATCGAAAAAAAAAGTGTTGTACCTTCTTGTGGGCTTTTAGTTCTCAATCTCCTCGTCTATCGCTTCAGTTATATTTTCAATTACATTGTTGCCATCATCTACAGGTTGTTCATTTACAATGTCATTTGCACTACTAGAGATCAACTGGCCTTCATATGCCACTTCAAGGTTGGAAGTACTGTTTGTTTCATTGTCTTGAATCATATTCTCTGATTGATTTTTTCGTAGCTCACGAAAGGCAGTCAATGATCCAGGACGACAAAAAGTCTTTTGTTGATGTTTCTTTTGTGGCTGGAGAGCTTGTTTTCCTGATGGGTTATTTCCATTTTGGTGATCTCTTTGTTGAAACTTGCCTACTGAATTGACTGGAGGTAGCTCGGTATGGTTTTCCACACCATGTTTTGTGGTGTTCTGAACAAATGCAGCCATTGAGCCTGACTTGTTTGAAGAGCCCTGTGTTTAATTGCACATAAGAAAATATTAGAATATGAAGGCGACTAAATAAGAGTTGGTCCAAACACTAAGGCGACTGAATAAGACTGAAGATGACACATACATACCTTGCGAGAAGCCTTTTTGGTAGCAATATCCTTGACATGTGGCAGATGTGAAAGCGGTGGCATGCCTCTTGTTGACCCTCCACAAAATTTCCCACTCACAACAGCCTATAAAAATAGGTTTATTTATAATTTATATGGATAAATCAAACTAAGGGAGTTTATGACGGAATTACAATGTTACATAAGTAAAAAAAAAGGGGGGGGGGAGATGACAAAAATAATCTGTATACATGTATTTATGAGACTAACCTTACGTTTGCTTGTTATAGTACCAGAGTCAATTTCATCCTGGTTACCCTCATATTCAAGTATGTACTCATCATCATTTTCATCATCTTCATCTGAAAACAAATTATTGTCATCCCATGTGCTGATAGCATTAAGGGCATATGAAAAGGCTCGAGATTTATCATAAATTTGTGATGCCAAAGTTCCTTTTCCAGAAGTTGCCATAATGTCCGCGTTACGCTTCAGCTGCTCTAGTCTTTGCCTTTCATAATCTGTTATCACTTTTTTTTGAGGGATTGATTTAGCCTTAATCCCCTTCATCTACACATATGAAAAAAAAAATTATCTTATTAAAAAAATATTTAAACTTGTATGTTACAAGAGAAAAAAAAAAAAAAAAAAGAACAAGCCATAAGAAAAGGAAAAAACTAATAAAGTAATTTAATGTATCAATCAACATTGCATATAATAATTTTTTTTTAAAAAAAACAAGACATAACATAACATCCTACCATCAGAGAGTTCTGTAGGAAGGTTGTGAACAACATAAAACCAACCATTCTTGGTTAAGTCTTCCACATAGAAAACTTGTCGTGCCTGAGATGCTAAAATAAATGGTTCTCCCACACCAATGGTTCTATTCTTATTAACCAAAATAAATTCATCATTCATTTCTGAGTAAAACCACACACATCTAAATAAGACAACGCTAAATTGGCCATGGTATGATAGCTCAATGATATCTTCTATTGAACCATAATAAGCAACACTTCCCATTATAGGATTTTGATCTTCTATTGAACCATAATAAGCAACACTTCCCATTATGGTATGGACTCCATGGTTTTGTGATATAGAATTTGCATCACGCTTCATAGTGTGAAAGTGAAATCCATTCACAGAGTACCCAGTGTACCTTTTTGCCACATAAGAAGGACCTTTTGATAACCATTTCAAATGGTCTGGTACCACAGCACCTTGCTGAATCATGCAGGCAACTTTCTCCTTAAACCAAGCCATAAACTCCTTACTATGATTCTGAACAATATCCCATTTTCGTTTCCTATGGGAGCTTAAATTTGCCATGTGTTCACTGAAATATTAATAAAACTACACACATATTAGTATTGTAATTAATGATACGATGAAGATTGAGTCTATATATATGTAAATATGATATTGAGATTTTTTTATGAATAATTTTACCTGATGTATCTCTCAACTTCCTTGCAATCACAGTTGAATAACACGTATTGATGGGCTTGGTCCCATGTAATGTGATCAATCATAAATCCATATTGATTCTTCTTTGTGGGCTTTCCTTTCCCCCTAGTCGGTCGACCAATATTAGGAAGGAATGGTTGTGCGGTTTTTGACTTACCACTAGTTGAAGGAGTCTTTGGTCGATTTATGTATCTAGCACAAAATCGAAGACACTCTTTAGCCCAATATGCTTCTGCCATTGAGCCCTCAGGGCAAGCTTTGTTCCGAACATCATCCTTCAACTCATGAAGAAACCTCTCAATTGCATACATGCATCTATTACAAATAGGACCTCCAAGCCTGATTTCTTCCACCAAATGAACTGGTAAATGGACCATTACAGTGAAAAAAGCAGGTGGAAAAATCATTTCTAATTGACAAAGTGATTCAACTATCTGAGAATGAAGATTGTCAAGGTCTTTTGGGTCAATGGTTTTACCCCATATGCCTTTAAAAAACTGACAAAGTCTAATCAGCGGAGTTGCAACTTCCTTAGGTAAAGTTGCCTTTATTGCAATTGGAAGCAAGTAATGCATACAAAAATGAGCATCATGGCTCTTATATCCTGTTATCTTCCCCTCATTAACTTGCACACAACGAGCAATATTAGAAGCATACCCTTGAGGCAACTTTGCTTTCTTTATGGTTCGGCAAAACAAGCGCTTCTTCTCTAATGTCATCCAGAAGCGTGACCTTGGGATCTCTTCACGAAGGTCATCTATTTCAATAGGCTGAAGTTCTGGCAAAATTTTAAGAAATTTCAGATCACGACGAGCACACACATTGTCCTTGGTTTTCTTAGATATATCTAACAATGTTCCAATGATATTATCAAATTTTTTTTTTTCTATGTGCATCACGTCAAGATTATGTCGATTTGTAAAATGCTTCCAATAAGGAAGGCTAAACAAAATTGACAACTTTCTCCATGGAACATCATCATTGTGCTTTTTTTTGTTCGTCTTTCCAAAGTCATTGGGAAAATCTTGTAGTAAATCTTCAATTTCAGTACCTTTCAATCTAAAAGGTTCAGTTCTCTCCTCAATTTCTCCAAAAGTTCTCTTATCATGGCGCTGTGGGTTGAATCCAAAAATATACGATAATGCCAATAGCAAAATTTACGGCTATGGTCCAACCATTGTGATTCCATATCATAATGGCAGCAAGGACAAGCCCTTTTCCCCTTTGTGCTCCAACCAAACAACATTGCATAAGCTAGAAAATCACTGATCGTAGACAATAAAGCTGCATGCATCATAAACCTCTTATCAGTTGAAGCATCATATGTTTCTAGCCCAACCTCCCATAGCTCTTTTAGATCTTTGATTAGCGGTTGTAGATAGATATCAATATCATTGCCCGGGGATGAAGGGCCAGGAATAAGTAATGTTAACATTAAAAACTCGTGATTTGTAACCAGCCAGGGAGGTAAGTTATAATTTACCAAGATAACTGGCCAGGTACTATGTACGATGCTCATCGTGTGAAATGGGTTAAATCCATCAGTAGCCATACATAGCCTAACATTACGTGGATCTTCAGAAAACTTTGGATACAACTTATCAAAGTCCTTCCATGCTTGACCATCAGCAGGATGTTGTAAAAGTCCATCAGTTTCACGTCCATTTGCGTGCCATGTCATGTACCTTGCTGTCTCTTGGCACATAAATAGCCTTTGCAACCTTTTCTTGATGGGAAAATATCTTAGAATTTTGGCAGGTATTTTATGGGCCTTTTCATTTACCTGATCCTCGTCATTTGATTTCCATCTTGAAGTCTTACAAACATGGCAACTCGCTGCATTTTTATTTTCCTCCCAATACAACATGCAATCATTAGGGCATGCATCTATCTTCTCATAATCCAAGCCCAATACTTTTAAAGTATTTTTTGCATCATTAAAAGAAGAAGGTAGCTTTGCATCATCAGGCAATATATCCTTAAGAAACGCTAATAAAGCACCAACTGCAACATTGCTAACCTTATAATCACACTTGAAAATTGATAGTCGAATTGTAAAGGCAAGTTTTGTCATTTTCTTACAACCTGGATACAATTCTTGTTGCCCTTCTTCAATAAGTTTAAAAAACTTCTTTGCATCTTCATTTGGCCCCTCTTTGAAGGTATCACTTAACAAACCTTCTATGTCATCATTCACATCATTTATGTATTGGGGTACATCAGAATCAACTACTACATCTTTTCTTTCGATGTCCTCCCTTACATCTAACAATATGTCTGATCTAGGGACAAAACCGTTGCAAATCATATGCTCTTTAATAACATTCCTATTATGCCAATAACGATAGTGACAAATTTCACATGGACAACAAATTTGATCTCCTTGTGAGCTGGATGCAAAAGTCTTTTCTATATACTTATCAACTCCATTTTCATATTCATCACTCCATCTAGCAAATGTCCACCACTTTGTATTTACTTTATCCATTACTCTAGTTAAAGCCAAGAAAGAAAAAATAGATATTCTATTATTATATATAGCCAATTACAAAAATATAAATACAAAATTCACCCTACTAATGGTTATTTGCTTATCATTTTTTTATTCCAATAAATATATATTAAATATAATATAAATATAAAAAAAACAAGTGAGGGAGAACAACCACCAGAAACAACTGTATATGTACAATCATGCAATACATGAAACAATAAGAGAAAGTCACACTATGATTATAAAAGTATAAGTCAAACAAGAAGTAAGAACTAAGAGTTGGTCCAAATACTAATGCATAATTTAATAAATCTAAAGTCAACTATTTAATTAAATACATAATTATGCATCTAATTCCACCACAACCCAATCCTTCATGCTAGAATCAATACATAGTATATATGAAACAATAACAATACTCACATGTTTACAAATAAAAGTAATATTGCATAAATGATTTGGAGAATGAATTACCAATGATACAAAATAAGGTTGCTAACCAAGACTAGTATAAGAGTATCCAATATTAACATGGAGATATATGCATAACCCAATTTCATGTCCTAAACATGATACTAATCACAAGATCAAATATATTCTATACTCCATACTATTACTCAATGGATTAAACCCAAACTATTAGATAGTTACCTAGGCCAACTGAGGGAGTGTAGTGCTGCAAATACCGAAACTGACGTACTGCTTTACTCCTAATAAAGTGAATAGAAAACATAAATTCAATATGCATACAATTTGTTTAAAAAAATTGTCAAATTAATATATAGAATCAATAAACACTCATCGTAATTTTCGTTATCCAATTCCCCTTCCACGCAAATCAATAGAAAAAAACCATCTCATGGGCATTCGTATCCTACTAGTGTTTAAAGTCTTGTCTAAACCATTTTAAAAGGAACAATAATAGGGAGGCAATAAAAATAAAATAGAAGACATAACTTGGACACCATAATTAAAAAATATATAAACGAAAGTAATTGATAATTCAAATAATAATTTACCTTGAATGAGTGAAATTTCTCATCCCTGATAATTTCAAATATAGAGAGACTCTTTAATGCACACCAAACTTGATAATTTGTGAGGAAAGCATTTTGCTAAAAGAAAATAAGTCTCAAATTCCCAAAGAAAATTGCAAAATAGTACAACATCAATTTGTTCAAATGAGAATAAAAGATAACATATTATCCCACAATCTCGTCAAGGTCAGAGTACATGGATTTAATAACTCCAAGTTTCAAAAATTGAGAATTGATTAAGTGTAGAAACATGCATATATACATATATAACAACAACTTGACAATTCTCAACTATTGAGGTCGTAAATAAAAAATATATATATAAAAATAAAAGCACAACAATAAGAACTAAAAAGCTCAACTTGAAAAGGCTCAAGTTTGAAGCCTACGCAAATCTTCAATACTAAAAAAAACCAGCCCACCATTATTTTTTACTAAAATACAAACTCCACCTCTTGTATCTTTACAAAATCCTCAATTTAAAGGTTACTTTGACTATAATTCCCTGATTAATAGACCTCTAATCTACTATAATTTGGGTCAGATGTTCTTCTTATCAATAATTAAGTAATATAAAACAACAAGATTGTTTATACAGTAAAAAGAACAAAAGGTTGAAGATTTAGATAATTTTAATTAACAAAAACTTCAATCAATGAAAATTCTAGGTCAATTGAGCATGCAAATTTGCAAACAAAATATAATGTTAAAGAAATATTGAAACCTACATACTTAACTAGAAGCACAATACAAAGAGAGTTTGAAATTACCTGATAATTAATCTCCAAATGGATGCCGGAGCGCCAATGTCGACATCGTTCTGTATTGGGGGTTTTGAAAAGAGTTTGGTAATGGGAATTCTCTAGAATATATCTGAAGTTTGGTAAATGGGAAGTACTGTACTAGAGACTTAAGAATTTGAGACTAAAAGAAATGAGGGTTTTGAAATTTTGGGGAAAAAAAGCGCACAAAAAGTCCGGGGTATAGCGCGCAACTCCAAAAATTTTATACTCCTATTTTATTTTATCATCTCTTACCATCATATAATGCAACGGTTAAAGACCTAATGCCATGGCTAATTTTTAAACCGTTGCAAAAAACCGTAGCATTAGCCAAGACCGTTGCTACAAACAGTTGTATTATCTATAACCGTTGCAATAACTGTTGTATTAGCTTAGGTCGTTGCACTCAACCGTTGCAATACTCTTTAACCGTTGCTTAAGACCATTGCATTTGGTCGTTTATGTTGTAGTGCAAGCAACGGAATTTCAGTGCAGTCGCGTCGGCAGCCTTTAGGTGGAGGTGGACGGAGGTACGTCGGCAGCCTTAGCGCGGTCTCAAGCTAAGCCAAGGGAAGGAGAGTTTGATCGACACTAGAGTAAGCTAAGGGGGAAAAGCAAAAATTTCGAGCACAGAGAAAGCTAAGTGAAATAAATTATTTTAGGGATTTTGGCGGTTTAGAATTAGGAAAAGCAGAGACCGGTTATTACTTTCCACTGGTCTCTGCCAATTTTTAATTTGAAAAAATAAAAAAAAAAAAACACCTAGAGACCGGTTTTGTAAAACAATTGGTCTCAAACTATTTTAATTAAAATATTAGAATATTCTAAAATACCCCAAGAGACCGGTTATCTTTAAAAACTGGTCTTTTGAATTTGTTTTGAGACCGGTTTTTAATGGTGAATGGTCTCTTGGAACAAAGAGACCGCTTATGTAGTAAACAAGTCTATTATTTATGGTCTCTTTGGCCAATTTTGTAGTAGTGATGATTCGCTCTTCACTCATGCCCATTCATGAATATGTTTCATTATCACCTGAAAACCTCCTCTCTACTTGTCCCCACTACTCGCCATTAGAAAATGGGTCGTCGTAGGGCCAAAGTAGACATGGCCAAACACACAAACACACACAATCAGCAAAGTTGAGTACATAAGAGTAATTAAACACACTAACATGCTTTCACCTATCACCACACACTTATCTCATTGCACTTGTTTACAAGCACACACAACAATCAACAAGACACATTAACTAGACACTAAGTAATTCATTTAGCGTTGATTACGCATCGCACGGGTTTCCAACTATACCTCCCCCAAATAAATTGAGGTTAACTGACACGGGAGCTAACCGTGCCAACGACAAAACCACTCAAAGGTGGCGGAATTCCTGCGCATAATAATAAATAAAAAAGAATGTACAACATCCTGTACTCCATTAGAAGTTATGGTTAAATATAAAACTCTATAACTCCCTCCATTGTTCATACTCAAGGTATATACGTTCCAAAAGTTTTGGTGCGTAATCTCTTTCACTTTACGTTATTTACATGTTATTGGACTTAGTGACTAAATCAATCAACCATAATTATTCAATCAACCAAACATACCAATTTAATTCTTGAATAATTAGTGACCACATATTATTTAATGTTGAACCCTTTTTAATTCTACCTTAGTGTCAAAGACATGTTAAACGCATAAAGCGCCAAAAATCCTATCCCTCGGTGTTTAAAACACCTTAAGTGCACAAAGGCACCAACATACAATCCCTTGTGTATATAGACACTTATATAGCTTCTTCCTCATGCTTAAAGCATCAATAAAAATTATTTGAACCATAATAAAATTCCTTTTCAATATTCCTAACATAATTAAACATGTTGTTTAATTAATCATGCATTCTAACATGCCATAAATAAAAGTGTGGTTCAAACACAACATGCCCAAAATATAATTTTCCAATCCATAAACCATCACAAATAATTCATGCTTCACAATTCAATCATCAACACCATTAATTCACAATTCCATACATAAACCTTAGCATGATACTACTTGTAATTGATTGAAATCAAGCCTAGCATGATTCCACATCATCAAAATATGCTAAGTACGCGAACGTACCTCAAATAAACCCTTAAAGTAGCCGATTACACTACAACAATTCCCGAATTAAGTCTCCTACATAAAGGGAATATAATACTATATTAATTACCCTTGTATACACAATTTCCAGCAACTTAAACTCACTTTAAATAACTTATAATAATCTGAAAATTATTTTTAAACCCCTAATTAAACTCCTTTTTAATGGATAATCACACTCTTTTATTAAAAATCACAATTATACTACTTTGAATACAATTCCAACATTTTAAACTAATAAAAAATCCTTTAAAACATCATCAAAATACATCTTTATACTTAAATTATCCATAGAAACATTAAATTATCTCTTACCCTTTAAACTCAAGGATAAAATTTAAAGCATAAAAAAAAAACTTCGTTAAAAATCAAAAATTGCCCGAAAATCATATTTAGAGGCTGAATTTGGCCACGAGAGGGTGGTCCACACTACCATAGGTAGTGATTCTTTCTTAAAACGTTGTTTCCACACGAAAAACACTATTTTTTTTTTATCAAAATCGGAGGAGTTCAGAACCTGATCGGGATTAAAACGAGATTAATATTAACGAACATAAATCTAATAATTAAAACATGAATTTACGTGTTCAATATAATCTGGAATTAAGTTAAACTAATAAGTAGTTATAATCACCAAAATTTCAAATCATCATTACCAAAAAAGCCCTAAATCAATTATTCATAAAAACCCTAAAATCATGATTTTCAATAATTAAAAACCCTAGGTTATAAAATTTACAAAATCTGAAAATTATAAAGTTTAATCATCAAAATACAATTTGATACTAATTAAATTAATTTCAAACAATAAAATCAAAACCCATAAATCAATAATTATAATTACACAAATTAATAAAACAAAGGAGAGAGAAAATAAGACTAACCTTTTTGTGTGGGAAATTTTTGGGGATTCATGGGGTATTTATAGAGTAGAGAGTGTAGGGTTAAATTTGGGCTTATAAAAATGTGGGCTTGAGTTAAGGGATAGGGCTTAAGTTATGGGTTTTGGAATGGGTTATTCCAATAAGAGTATGTAGGAATAATTTACATTGCCCAATAATTAATAAACGTTTGGCCCAAAACGTATTTTACTTTTATAAAACTTTATATTTAAAATAATTTAACTCTTTAAAATATTTAATTAAAATATTTGAGCCCTTGACAATACATTTTATTAATACTTAAATACTTTATAAAAATACATAAAAATACGGGGTATTACATATAGGTGATGCGTTAGGTTGGTTTATGAGTCGCCTTTTTCATTATAGGCGACGCGTTAGGTGTATTTTATGAGTCCTCTGCTTTTTATGAGGCGATGCGTAAAGTAATTTCATGAAAAATATAATTCTTCAATAGCGATGCCCAAAATACAATATTTTTTTCTTTTTCCAAATTCACACTTGCTACTATAAATATAACCTATGTAGGACTTGAACCTACATCTATGTGCAATAGCACATTGCTCTACCATTTGAGCTAATAGGCTTTTGAAAACTTCTATGACAAAACTTCTATAAAACTAACATTATAAATATCAAGATAAACATATACATCCTAGAATAACAAAGACAAATGACAATAAGGTCCAAGCTCAGCGAAGAAACAACCAAACAACCACAAAATTCCACTAAGGTTCAATCCAATATATATATTTATATATACTATATATCTAAGGTTCAATAGTCAAGTCCAAGATTAAATTAATGGAGTTATGAATCAAGTCTGATTCTTGGCAAAGAAAAGTTAATTTAAAATATTTAATTATAGAAGATAATCAATTCTCCATCTCAAAGGTCATTGAGGACCCAGAATGAAATAATTAGTAAGAAGTATATAAAATACAGTGTGAGTAAACTAAAGAGCTAAGCAGCAATTGTGCACTTTATCAAATTATATCAAATGACATGAAATAACTGACATTTTGATTTTAGATTGAGAATTATATAAGAATAATCACAAATTCTAGAAATAGAGGAAGGAACTTAGTATAATTTTACCTTTAGTTAAATCAGGAAGACCAAAGACTGGAAAATTCACCTCTCTGTAATAACCAGCCAATATAGCATTGAACATACTTGCTGAAGGAACTTTCTTAATCTTTCCCACATCCTTCACACGGTATATGCATTATCAAACTACAGAGAGCAGCAAAAGATGAACTGGTAAATGAAGCAAAAGTAGACTAAAACAGGGAAATGAAAAATGAAGAATGGTGTGCATTTTAAAAACTCACATATTTCATTCTAACGTTCATGTTGATAATTTTTCTGATTGTCTCACTATTTGGCTTCAACTTATGACTACTAAGCATTGAATATATCTGACAACCTATTACAGAAATATTGACAGGGGAAAATACATTCAAATCAAGTACAAGATCAGGAAATTAATTCTACAGTGTTCCCTTTCTAAAAGACCAAAATTATAAGACAATGGCACACTACTATTCAAACAACCTCACAACTCACGTGAAACATGATGATGTCAAAACCTCCAAATAAGAGAAAACCGACTCACAACGAGACATGACCAATAAAACAATGTGATATTCCTTGCATATTACAGTGAATAACCCCTAAATTAATTATTGTAGTCTGCAATTCTACATTAATAGAGTTGTATACCCACTTTAAAACTCAGTTAATAGTGAATTCAGTTCCCACTTTAAAATTCAGTTAATAGTGAATTCAGTTCAAAGTGGCAAAGGTCAACCAATAATGAATTCGGTTCAAAGCAACGCAGTAACATATAGACCTACTACAGCTGTTCAAATTTTTTATGATCACAAAAATAATATGAGGTTCTGCTTAGATAACTCATGCATATATACAATACAAATAAACATTTTCAGCAACAAATTAAAGACCTCTTTCTGCCTTTTTATTCTTTGTTAAGGTACCAAACTTTAAAGCAAATGGATCATTGTTAAGGTACCAAAAAACAACAACAAATTAAACACCTCAAAATTCATTGAATGAGCTTCAGTTAGACAACAAAATTACCCAAAATAATGAAGTGAGGTTTACCTAAAACAAAGAAAATCAAATCAAAATGCACAAAATTAACAAT